CACACAGGGAGAATGTCATGTGAAAATAAAGACTGGGGTCTCCCAGTCAAAGATCACCAGCAAACCACAAGATGCAGAAGAAGGTCAGGGAGAGATTCTCCCCGACAGTCTCACAAGGAACCCTCCCTGCCAATACCCAGATCACAGCTCCAGCCTCAGAAATGAGATTACAATAAATCTCTGTTGCTTAGGCCACCCAGTTTGTGATACCGTGTTGTGGCAGCGCCAGCCAGCTAATACAAGGTGAAATCAGTCAGCACTCAGATCCCCCATTTAAAAAGGGCTGACAGGACCTGGAAAATATGCTGCATGACCTGAACCTGACTGAATCTCTCTCCAGAACTTTACTGGAGTCTCCTGCCTCCATCCAATGGGTCATCATTGATAGATTTTAATATTACGTCTAACACAATGCATTTGGCTAAGGTTCCTCTGTCTACAGAGAGACTTGGATTTGAAATACTCCCGTATTTTTTGTGTGGGAGAGAGGGAGGCTCAGGCATGTGTAAAAACATATTATAAATGACTAAAAAAACTCCCTTGGAAAAATACCTTGGCAGAGATGTGGGTTGTCAACCTTCATGAGAGCTGTTATCTCAACAGGCAACAAATTCAAACCCTTGACTGAGCAGGATGTGTCTGGTTCCTCAAGATTCATAGGGTGTGTGCATTCCCTTGGCCAAAGCTGCAATAGTTAGCAGCTGCTACGTAAAGGTACACCATCAATTTAATCCTTTGTGGAGCCAGTCGTGTTGAACTGGCTGCTTTTTTTTTTAATGGGATGTCTGCTGCTTCCCTATTATAATGGAAAACATAATTGGGAACAAATCTTTCAAAAAATTAAACACACACCCACAATGTAAACTGTGAAGCACTCCATCACATTGGAGTGGCATTTCCCAAGATTTGTCACAAAGATCTTTCAATTCCATTTCCTATCCTTCAACCTCCACCCATTTCACTCAAGGCACTAAAAATTGGCATTTGCAAAGAAATTCCAGAAGCCTGAGCATTTAATAGCAGAGGGAAATCCCAACCTTTTTGGCCTCAATTCTCACGATGACAGTTCATTTTTCCATGTGAAACCACATTCTAGTTGCTGCAAATATTTAAAGAGGTAAAGAAGCCACTTTCAAACTAAAAGATAAAAGATATAAAATAATGGCAGTCATAAAAGATATGAATAATGATGACTAGAACTCCATGTTTGCTTTATAAGCATAAAAGTCAGTCTATTCAGTTTTAAAACCAGACAGAAAACTTTACAGTTTTCTTATTGAAATACTCAGAGCCATGCTACAGAACTCTCTTGGCCTCCTGAAGGCTTGCTATTTTGCAATGCCAAGAACAACTTCTGACACTGGGTCTACTCACTGTGCTAAGCCTTTCCCCCTCTTCTGACCTTCCTTCTCCATCCTATCCATCCATGAGGCCTGGGTAAAGCCCCACCTCCATAAATTTAGGTTTGCAGCCTTGGCAAACCTAAATTCCCCCCAAGTCTCCATACACAGATTCACTCCCCTGAAAATCAAAAGCATTTATCATCTGGCTTCACAATCTAACTAGTTGTCCCATCTTGAAGGTCCCTTTAGTATTTATCTTTTATTGGTATTTTGGCTTAGTTATTTCCTGCATGTGTTTTTCCTTCTCCTAAGTTTATTAGCTCCTTTAGAGAGTCTTTAGACAAGAGCTATACCTTGAACTTCCCTCTTTGTATGAAACCCAAGTGTGAGGATTCTTAAAACACAGTGATAAATGCAAACTTTAAAATGTCATCCACCACAGAAACTCCTAAAGTCTTTTAGATTCTGTGACTTATCTGTGGGGTCCCCAATATATTTAGGAATCAAAACAAACAGACGATGACTTGTCTAATCACAGCCTGTAGAATCAGGCTCAGTCCCCTATTAACTCACATAAACCTTCCCTGGATGTGAGCCAAAGTGTTCCAGAAAGACATTCTGATTAAATCTACCTGGACAATTATCCTAAAGTAGCAGTGACCTGAAGGACATTCACAGAGTGCTCCTTTGGGCCATTCTTGTCCATTTTTTTTTTCACTCCAGGATTTTGTTCTCAATGGCCACAAACTGATCTGGCTGCAGACCTCCCAGATACAGACTGGCTGAAACATGATCATGGCAGTGGGTCACCTGTCATCTCTTTATGTAAGCATGAACCTGATCTGCTATCCTCATCTGTCCACCCCCAGTAATACAAAGAACTTTTTCTTTCCCTTTCTTTCTCACACAAAGACAAACAGGAAAGTTGGGTGGCTCATGATTTTGGAGACTTAAGAGACCACTCCACTTGCTTCGTGTAAAGAAGATTATAGAGTTTGGCTCATTTATCTAAATGTAATCATTTGTAAACTTGTTTTTCTTGCAACAAGTAATACACATCTATATGTGTGTGTACATAAACCAAAAACCTCAGCCTGAAAAGAAAGCAAAGTGAGCTTCCCTCACTCATTCTCTCCTCACCCTCAGTTTCCCTCCTTAGAGAAAGTAATTCTTACCAGATTATTCTGCCCTCTGGATCCTATGAACCTTTTAATCTTGTTTGCGTTTTCATCAAGAGAAAAGAATAAGTATTTTCCAGGCACCTCCTGAGCACCAGGCCCTGAGATGTGTGCTCCACATCCATTAGTGCATTTAACATTCACCATAATTAAGAATTATTAATAATAATTAATGGTTCACCTTGAGAGGCTGATGCTGGGATTTCCTCCAATTTCAGGTGAGCAACCCAAGGTTAGAAGAATATGAGACTCTGCCAAGGCTGCAAACTTAAATTCAAATTCTAAGTCACTTTGTCTAGCTGCTACCTAGATAGTTCTGTTTCATAAAACAGAATCTCCATCCCTAACTTCTTTTCCCAGGAAACATGGGCCAAGGGATCCAAAGACCTTGGCACAAAAACTGGTTCTACAACTTAGAGCTCTAAGAACTGGGACAGATGACTGCACCTCCCCAGGCCTCAGTGTCTCCATCTGCAAAATGAGCTTAATAATAAAACCTACCACACAAAACTTACGGCAAGAATAAGTTTATTTCATGTAAAGAACCTGGACTGGCACCTGATATTATAGTAACTACTCTATCATGGCTAGCTGTTTATCGTTGTTATTATCATATGGCTGGTTAACAAATGGAGATTTGGAATGGTTTCCTTTCCTTGTTAATTTTTATTTTTATTTAGTCCATTTAGCTATGTAGTGACATAGCTTGGAGAAACAATTTGGGATGTATTTGGGAAGCCATGTGGATTTGTCTGGCTCCATTAGACCAATTTCCTTTGCTCTCCTCTCCCAGGGTTGCTCTTCGAACATTTCCTCTCTTAGCATTCACTGCCCAAATCATGGCCTTCTCTGCTGCCAAATCCCAGAAGCTTTCACTAGTGTTATTGCTATGATTTTTTTTTTTAAATCATGGAACTATTTCAGTTTTTATTTAAAAACTAGATTCCAGCAACACCCTCTCTAATGCCACAAGCTTGAAAATTTTTAAACTGAAAGTTTATGTGCCTATCATTTCCCCCTACCCATGTTCATATATCATGGAACTGTAATCCAACAAAACTTTGCTAAAATAATCTCCACTTATATAAATGGAAGCTACCCAAATTGTTTTTGCAACGGAAAAAGACACTTACTAACCTGATCATACAATGGACAAACTCATACCTGCTGAATTGGGCAATGTTGTCCACTTAATTGCTTTTCCCTTCTTAATTGAAAGCCAAAGTAGATAAGAAGGCTTGGTATCCTATGGCCAGCAGATTATCAAGTCAAAGGAGGTTTCAGATCATCAGATCTAAGGAAGTCAGACTACTGAGGCTCTCCCTGTGGTTAATGGCTAGCTACACAGCTTTGGCCAAGTCATTTCCCATTTCCTAAGTTTTAGTTAATTTATCTTAAGAATGAGAAGATGAGATCAACTTTTTCCTAAGAGTTGATCTAGCTCCTTTTTTAAGTGAGACAATATTTTGCCATCACCCCCTAAGCATCCTATCTGGTCTGGGCCATATCAGAGTAGAGCAGTAAGTTCCATATCACTAACACAGCCTTGGCAGATAAGCTTTAGCCAAAAGTACGTATGCATGTGACATGCTAGTTGTAAAAAACACAGCCTCTACTTATTGCAAAAATGCAGTTGTGCCAAGCTTTCAAAATAGAATTCATGGCAAAGCAATAAAATCCAGGTTCACTTTAATTACCTAATTTTAAATAATATCTGGGCATGCATATTTCAAGGGTGATATATCTGGGCTTCCCTCTAATACCCTTCCATGAATTCCTCCCATTCAACAATCCTGCTGGAAGCATCTGGAATGCAGTTAGCATAAGACAGAAATCCCAGTGGGGTTTATAAGGCAACCTTTTGTTGAAATGTCACTGTGTATAAACCTTCTGTTGTATTATTTTTCTCCATTTTCTCCTATGGGAGACTTTGTTTCATAATTCTGACATCACAACTGGTTCCTCCAATCTAAAGTATTTTATGATGAATAACAAATGAGTAAGAAGCCCAGGAATTCAGGGGGAGTGAAGGTAAGGGCAGCAATGCATTTTGTTGTTTGAAGACAAAAGCCTTGACAAAGTTAAACAACTTAAGGTCAAAGATGATACATGCTAATATGTAATTCCTTAACCACCCCCAGAAGAGTTGCTTTTAAAAATGATATTGTGAATCAGGAATTAGGCAACTTTAGAAATGCTAAGAGATTTTCCCTGGTTCTTTAAGATGTTTAGTTCAACTGTTCCTTTCTCTATAAGACCTAGGCCAACTTTTTAAAGTTAATTTTGAAAGCAATACACACAAAGAACAAGGAATGTTAAGCATGCCATTCATAGAAGCCACCCTGAGCTGGGGCCCAAAGTGCTTCTGGTGTCTGTAGTTTATTAACCCAGCACCTTATCAGGGCAGGAGTTGGGGCTGTCTCTGCAACCCCACGGAACAGAGCCAGAGCAGCCAGAACATGAGTCACAGCTTACTTACATCACTCTTCCTGAACTTCGCTTTCAAACTCTTCATGTTTAGTCCATTCAGCTTTCCAAAGTCCTGGGAGATTTTTCAACACCTAAGCAGAGAATGAATGAATGAATGAACAAATGAATGAATGAAGATTTCCAAATATACTACACATTTTCTATTCTGATTGGATTACAACATTGGGCCAAGGGTAGGAAACAGGGTCAGAACTCTGACCATGTCAGAAGATGGTTGGAGTCAACACTGGGAGCAGTAAAGAACACAGGTTATTTCCACAACCTAGACACTTCTGACATTTTTAAAATGACCCAAACTTTAATTTTTTTCTTATTTTAACTGACAAAAACTGCACATACATGAGATATAGGATATGACACTGTGAAATATGTATATACTGTGGAACAGGTAAATTCAGCTAATTAACCTCACATGTATATTATTAACTGGAGTGAAAACACTTGAAAGCTACTTTCTTAGCAAATTGCAACAATGTACACAATACAATGTTACTAACAACAGTCACTATGTTATACAATAATCTCAAACTTATTCCTCTTGACAAACTGAAATGATGTACCCTTTGATTAACATATCCCAATTCCCCTCACCATCCCCTGGTGACCACCATTCCATTTTCTGTTTCTATGAATTATACATTTTTATATTTCACCTGTTAGTTCCCACACATTAAAATGGAACAAGTTTAAGTTCCTGCTTAACTATCACTGTAAAAATTGCTCTATGGGTACTGCTATGGTTTGGATGTGGTTTGTCCACTGGGGTTTCAGTATTGGAAGCTTGATCCTCAGCGTGGTGATTTGGGAGGTGAGGGAATGAGGTAAGGCCTACTGGGAGATCCTTAGGACACATCTTCAGAAGGGAATGTAGTTCTCCTGGAGTGACTTTTTAAAAAACCCGATCCTGATCCTTGCATCTCTGGCTTCCCATCTGGCAAGGGGACCTCTTACTTCCACACACACTCCCACCATAGTTCTGCCATCCACCAGAGCTGAGCTGATGCCAATGCCAAACCCTTGAACCTCCCAAACTGTGAGCTAATAAACCTCTTTGCTTTACAAAGTTACCTAACTGCAGATATTTCATCATAGTAACAAAAAAATGGACTACTACATATATATTTCTTACAAGTAATTCCTCCACACAACCTTCATTTTTCAAGGATACCATCTACTTCCCTTTGAAGAGCGACAATAGCAAAAAATGATAAGGAAAACAGTTCACATTCCAGATGCCATTCACTCCCTATTTATTTTTCCAGAGCTTGCCCCTCCTTCCCCCACCCCCAAGCCCTCTTAAATGCACAGAGCAGTTAGCAAAAAATGCCAGGAAAAACAAAACCTCCCTCATCGAATAACTCATTCCTCAGGGGACCACTCTAAACAGTGCAAGACTCGCCAGGTCCTTATGGGGCCCAGCAATTTTGAGTTGGTGCTGGAAGAGTCTTAAGCAATTTCTTCATTTAGGGGAAGTCTGTGGTCTTCTGGAAACTAAATGTTCTCTTTTTCAAGTAAGTATATATGTGATTTTTTTTTTTCAGTGAAGAAGGTTCCTAGTTTTCATTGGATTCTGCAAGGTCCTTGTCACCCTTCAAAAGGGAAGACCACTCATCTAGCCCAAGATCTTCATTTTCCAGTAGAAAAGCCTCAGAGAAGTCAGGACGCTTGTCTGCAGTCAATCACTGAGCCTGTTTATGATGGAATTCAGGATCAAATCCCAAAGTATGACTGCATGCTTTTCTACTGCTCTATTTAGCTTATGACCAAAACCAAAAGCCAGATCCTAAAAGATGGGTGTATTAGTCAGCTTTGGGTTGCTGTGACCAAAATACCTGGCAAGAACAATGCAGATGAAGAAAGGTTTATTGGGGGCTCATGGTTTCAGAAGTCTCAGTCCATAGATGACTGGCTCCAATGCTCTGGGCCCAAGGTGAGACAGAATATCATGGCATAAGAGAGCTGCTAAGGAAAGCTGCTCACCTCATGGCAGCCAGGAAGCAGAGAGACGGGGAGTCACAGAGAAGATGAACCCTTCCAGGGCCCACCTCCAGTGGCCCACCTCCTCCAACCACACCCCAGTGGCCTAGGATTAGCACACAGTTCATCAAACTAAAATGGACTACTTATGTTACAGCTTTCAAGATCCAATCATTTCATCGCTGAATATTCCTGCATTGGGGGAGGTTTTAGGGGACACCTCATATCCGAACCATGACAATGGTAAAATATGATACATAATTTATCTCCTTTATTAAATCTAGAAATGTGTAAAACATGGAGTCTTTGCATATAGATTTAAAAATAATCAAAGTGCATTTAGGTCAAAATGGCAAGACAATCCATGTGAGAGTTCCTATCACATAGTAAGTACTTAACAAATGACTCCTTCAAGTTGTACCTGACCAAAAGTGAAAACAAGTAAAATTTAAACAGTGGTATTCCAGTTGCAAACTAAAGAATGGTAGACAAATGTTTAAAAAAATCTAGTCATTATTATTTTTTGTAAAGCCTTTCAAGGTCATCTCATGTTTCTCTACATTCTTATCATTCTGGACAAAACTGATTTGAAAAGATAGAAAGCAGAAAATGCAAGCAACTGAATAGCTGTACTCATCCTTGCCTGTGTCCTTGTTGTTACCTCCCAGAAGTCGCCCAGCAACTCTCTGGCTTCTAATGTATTCACTTTCATTATTGCCGCTGCCATTAAGCAGAGCTCTTGGATGAATGGCATGAAAACCCAGTTATCATAAAGCACTTTGATGGCATTCATCTGGAGGCCACAGTTACTGAGACCTCTCCATGGTCCCTTTCAATCTTCCCAGCCTGGAAGAAGTGACAGAATACATGTTGCCTTGGAAACTGTACACACTGTAATTACACGTTTAATTTCCAACCATTTACACTCAGAGAATTCTGGGCTGGTACCTGCAAAGCAAGGGCAAACTCCAAGGCAAACTTAAAGTCAGCCCCTAGTTCATCTGCACCAGAAGGACCTGGGAACAATTTGCTAATGCAAAACCCTAATCCCTATCCTATAGAAACTGAATCTCAAGAGGCAAGGCCCAGGAATTTCCCTGGATGAATCTTTGTGTACTGAAGTTAGAAAACCTAAAATAGACGTTGATAAAACAGGGAACACACCAGTCAAAGTGGACCTGGTTTGTGTACCAAAGTCAAGCTGGTTTTCTTAGGTCAAAACAAATCACCTTTTGGTGAGTAACAACAGAAAAAATGATAATCAGATATTCCTAAACTATCACTGGCCCATGGTTTCTATACCAACTGTTTTAAGAAAATGGAAATTGTCCAGCCACCTTCTGGAAATAACCAAGGAAAGAGACCAAATCAGTGTAGTGGGAAGAGGAGAAAGGAGAAGCCATGCTGGGATAACCCACAAAACTATGTTGCCCACCAAGGCAGAACTATCTAAAACATTCCTTCATTAAGAGAGCATGAGGTCTTGGGCAATAGTGGGTAAGATTTTTGTTTGAGGTCATGGGGTTTCATGGGTGTTTTGTTAGGGTTTTTTTTTTTTTTTTTTTTTTTTTAATGTGTTTGTCTTTGGTTTTCTTCTTCTTTTTAAGCCTGGCAGTGAGAAGTATGCAAACTCTTATTTGAAGAGGATTAAATAAACAAAGTAGCAAATTCCAAAGGATCCCAGGGGAATGCATTAACTATTAAATGAATGTCTTCCTGGAGCCCAGAGCCTGGGTGTGCTATTGCTGGGTGGTCAGTGGGTGCAACTCCACCATGATAGAGATGGGTGTCTGAGGGAAAGAAGTTCTGAAAGCCTAAAGAGTAGTAACTCTAAAAACAAGAACTGTTGTTGGTGGTAATTGGATTTATTAATATATCACTGCTTTCCTGGGATTCCTACCAGGTTCTAACTCCTGGAAGCCATGGCAGTAGGAAGAAACTGAACAGCTAGCATCTCCTCTTACTAAATACGACCCAGGAGTAAATGAGAGCCTTGCCTTCCTTGGATCAGTTGCAATTTTACAGCCCCAAGTCTCAATGCCAAACTCCCAAAGCCCAGACAGGACTACAGCCTACTTTAAGTAAAGTGTCATCTAAACAGCACAATGAGGCTACATTAATGGCAGTCCTTAGACAAACCACTTATTAAGGATGCCTATTTCAAAAGGATTGCAGTGAAACTGAATTAGCTGCACAGCAGCCTCATTTGGGTAAGTAAAGAAAGAGGATCACACAGCCATAGAAAAAGTTATCTGAATTAACTTCTTCCATTTCAAGCAGAATAAGACATACCTAACCACTGAGCAAAAGTATTAGTTTAGTAAGTGCTCAGTTCAAAACAATTCACCAAAACATGTCATCCTTCATGGGTCACCAATCATTAGCATAGAAATTATGGAGATCAATGAGGAGGAAACAAAGATGTGCAGCCCCACTGCATTCTCATTTGGAAGACTGGATGCAACACACGGGGTTTTCTTATTAATTTATTGTCCCCTTTAAAAAAATGTAACTCTCAAGCAAAGCTTAATACCTGATGGCTTTATCTGATATAATTGTAGATAGAATAAAAAAAATCTTTGATAATAACCAAGAAAGCTTTTATCAAGAAAGTTAGGCTTAAGCATTAAAAAAAAATAGCAGAATGGATGGATATAGGATGATGAAATATTTTTAAAAATTTGTGGTAATGGTTGCACAACATGGGACTACACTAAAAACCATCAGTTGTCCTCTTCCAGGAGATGGATGGTATGTGAATAATAGATCCACAAAGCTGTTACTTTCAAATGGGGTAACTACCCCATTACCTTTTCCAATTGACAGAATTAGGAATATTCTAAGTTAGAAACCTCTAGATTTATTACAAAAGAACTTCAAAGGAACAAAGCTTAATGTGCAATGCTTCTAAAATGCTAAAAGATGGCCAGGCATGATGGTGTGTGTCTACAATCCCAGAGTGCCCAGCATGCTGAGGCAGGAGGATCACAAATTCAAAGCCAGTCTCAGCAACTCACCCTAAGCAACTTAGCAGAAACCCCGCCAAAATTAAAATAAATACATAAATACATAAATAAAGCTGAAGATATGGCTC